TCCAATTTCATGTTAAAAGCACTCTTAATTAAATTGTACAATTCATGATTCAACGAAAAGACGGTGTATTTAGTCTTCCTGGCCTCAAAAGGCATACAGGAGAGCTATTTGCTGCTATTTGAGCTACGATAAGCCTCGTGGAAAGCTAGCTCTAGGACAGAATTGTAGCAAGATTAGCAGTGACAAGTCAAATTCTATGGCTATGTTTTTGCGAATCCGGTCAGATATAACAACATAGATATTCAGTTCACTTTTCCCAGTCAAGCCATTCAGAAAAGGAAATACATTAACGCTAAATAAGGCGGCTCAGGATAGGTAAAATTTTGAAATACAAATAAACCTGTTGCTATGATTACTGTCACAGCTAAGTCATTTTGCGTCGGCCTGATCACTGCGTCAGACCTAATCTATCCAAAAAATAAAAAATCAAATAAGACGGCTAGAACGGGAACAAAAGACAGTTGTGTTGTCTTTGGACTCGTTTACTCTCTTTCTTTTAATTAAAAATAGGAAGGTAGGTCGCCAAACAGACGTCATGGAAACGTCACTTATGTAATAAGAAAGTGATGGGATTGAGTGAAAAAAAAGTGTTAATGACAAAAACACTTAAGCAAATACGAATTTAGAAAGTGGTAAACTAATTTGATGATCGTTTTTTTAAGCAAGCATATTTTTCAGTCCTTGACACATAAAGGACCTGGGGTGCTTCTTCTTCTGGAATAAGGTAAGATAATGATCCATTGATAAAATAGCAATTCTTTGTTTTGGACTTCATTGCAGATTCTACCTGTTAACTGAGCTTACTGGTAGTTAGCAGAAGACGGTAAATTGAGATCCTTTCCGAACTGGTTAAGGAAGTGATCTATGAAGGGAGAGAGGTGGTGAACGACCGAGAAAAGAGAGTAAATTGCAGGCGAAGTTAGCGCATCCCGTACCAAGCCTTATGCTTGCTTCTATTCCTTCAGTCCATGTATGACGTGGCGTGACGTGGTGACATCAATCACGTGGGCAATAAGGATGCGCACATGATGGGCGCGAACGTCCTTGTGTTTAATTTTAACAAAGATATTGAGAAGGATAACGTAAACGTCGCTTGTATCAGTTCCTCTTGGTTGGTATTAAAATATTGTAACTTAGCGTACAAATGTAGATGCAGTAGAAATACAGGTTGTCCAGAGGGAGGTAAATATGTTTCGAATCGAACAGTGGATAGTTTTTGGAAGGAATTGCATCATCGTTGAATCAAAGAAAATAGTAATGTAAGAATCTATTCAATCAAATCACGTGTCTCGAGAGCAACCTTTTCTTCGTACTAAGGACCCGCCGGCTAAGACGAACAGGTAGGAAGAGAATACAGAATGACTATGTATGAGCTAGTAACCTTGAACAACTTTGAACACAGCCAAAACTCAGTGCTATTCAAACGCTATAGATGAAGAATTACAGTGTTTGAGAACAAGACTTGGTACCTACCAAGTTGGTGAACATAGGCTCTCGATTCATGTGAATATTAAATTCCCGTTAGAGTATTAATTCATTGAAAAGCATATTAAGATGATCACACATATATAAGATATTATGGAGAGAATCGACTTGGTCTTGATTCTTGGTGCTGAAATTGTTACCATGCCAACAAAAGTCTACAATTACGATTACTTCAATCTCGTTTTTTCTCCTTCTTGATTTTTGCATGACACTCATCAAGGCACTTGTTAAAATCCTCTTTGCATTCCTGCTGGCATTCGACATCTACTCCGCATTTCGCAACGCAAGGACTCAATACTGCAGTTTGGCATTTCATAGAACACGGGTCCATCACCATTGGGGACCCCTGGCGTCTGACGGCCGAGACACACCTTGAATGAGAGAGAATCGCCAGGGCGACAAGCCAGAGTAAGGGAGGGACATATAGCCTCTTGGTTGTGTAGTCACTCATCTGAAACAAAATAGAAAGAAAAAGATAACTTTACTGCGAGTATCATCCAGTAGACCACTATCGTACATTAAGATTCAGCATGGCAGCGAGGCTTAAAGAACACAAACAAAGGAAATTGAACGGCCATGTTTATTCATTTCTTTTGTTTGTGTCCTTTAGGCCTCACTATCAAGCTGAATTTTAATATATCGAAATTACATTTTTCATTAAAAAAACACGTTACTTTCGACCACACTTTTTTCTTGTGCCTCAGTAACCTCAGGTGGCAACTCCCGTGTCACTGTATTAGTCTGAACAATAGACTTTCACAAAAGTCCTTCGTCTTGTTTATGACCCCTTGCTCGCGACCTCGTTTGCTTAGCTATTCTACCCTGAAACTCTTGAGGTCGACTTGTGGCAATTAACTCTAAATGAATAAACTTTATTTGTGTCAAAGATGTTTAGCTTGTGAAACTAATAGAATCTATTTACAATACATTTACTACGTTAAAATAAGAAAACAAAGTGCGAACAAGAGTAAACTTAAGAATATGTAAATGATTTTCAAAATTAGAAATACAATAAACAATAGAGGAATATTTATAAAGGAAGTACAATGAAAGTATCAAGCGGTACATGTTTAACAATTAGAACAGGTACCCTACATGAGAACAGTTGAATCAGTATCCTTGTACTGTTCCTAAAATTGTCGATCGTCAGTCTCTTTTCGTCAGTTGCTAGCAGTCTTGACCAAAGGTAAGGACCCAGATATCTCATAGAGCGTTTTCCACAACAAACTGAATAAACCGAGGCAAATCATTGAGGTCGGGGTTTCTAAGAAAATAGCCCTTGTCCGGGGTTTTAGAGTTCAACTATGTAGTCATACATATTTGACTTCCAATTAGAATTCTTCCTTTCATCGTGAACCAGTAAGCGACACATGAATTGACCTTTAAACTACAGTCGAACCTCCGGTTGCGATCACCTGTTGTAAGCGACCACCTCTCGTAAGAGACCGCGACCACTTTTAGAGCTAAAAATTTGAATTTTCTTTAATTTGTTCTTAACCTCCCGTAAGCGACCAATAGCTACCAACGGACAGATAATAGAGTGAAAGCTGGATAATAAGGTATTGTAACATTATAGCATTACTGGGTAGTACAAGAGACGGAAATTTCTCAATGGGAAGTACCGGATTTTTTCTCAAAATTGACTCTTTACATGAATAAAACCTTTAAAACGTGGATAAGTCTCTGCAGTTACTTTATGCTAATGCGGCAAAATTTTGACCCAAAATGGTCTAAGCTCTCGTAAGTGACCACCTAGGCTTGACACTTAGGGCGGTCGCTTACGGGAGGTTCGACTGTATATCTCTCATGAATAGCGTTCGCGYGGGAAGATTGGTAAATTTTACRGTCTGCGCGCCTCCSACGYGCTTTACTCGAGAGCCTTTCCATCTTTTCTCTGTTTTATTCCTAGGCCGCATTTAGTATTTGCGCTAAATCAGTTCGCGAGGGTGAAAATCCGTATTTTATCTATGAGAGCGAGAGATATGATAATAAACTTCTTATATATAACCTCTGACACGCAGCTTACCGAGACGACCGCAACGGTACGGAACCTGATCGATTTATAATGGCGAGAGCGCTTTGCGCTTGGACCATAAATCGACAGAAAAACTGAGATACTAGATCGGCTTCTTACAGTAACAGTTATGTTAAATGGCGTTAAGTGTTGATATTTGTCATCATCGCAATGTACCGGCAATGTTTGTATTGCAATCTAGTTGTTTACATCATGACGCCACTTTTCATGACTGCATTAAAGAAACTTCGATCACCTAGCTAAAGCAACGAAACATAAGAAAGTAAACAGAAATTGATTCCACATACCCTGATTAGTGACTGACGTGTGAAAATGACTTTCTTGCCACGGAACAGATTAGCGGTGTTGAATGTTTAGCGCCAAACGAGACCTGAATTTTAAATTGGGATATTTCGACCGATTGACTCGGCAAAATTTTTTAACCTGCTAAAGAATCATTGGAATAACAATTTGAACGAATCAATATGTAATTACTTTGGTCCTGTTTTCAACATGCTCTTTGACAGGTATTTGTTGCAAAGAACGAGGCAAAAAATATGTCTTTACTTCGAATTCGAATTGGATATTTACCCGCGCAGATAAATTTTCAGACGTTCCTTTAAAAGATTCTTCTCAAGTAAAGATATGTCAGCTCATTTAAAGCGAATTGAGCGTAACGATGTCACTTCAACCCGTTGGACTGAATAATTGGGTACCATTGAGAATCTGCAACACCCGTCAAATCTTGCGGGTCAAATTAAGAGTTCATTTAGTGATCACAGTGGAACCTGCCTTACGGTCACCTCGTTCAGTTACGGCCACTTTTATTTTTTTCACGGCGAAACGCCCATATATGTTCTTCTAAGAAAACCCCGTTAACACGGCTAACGGTCACATTCTCAAATCCCAACCTGTATGATCCTTTAAAATTTTACCCCGTTAGCACGCCACTTGAACCAAATACGCATTTTTGAAAATTCACAATAGACCAAACAAAACAAATATCGAGAAACAATAACGAGCGGTACTCTTTTTGCAATTGTGATATATCACTGTCAAGAAGTCAGTTAAAATGGACAAGCCATGAAATTTGACCCCGCCCCGATTTCAAATACGGCCACCCTGTTATGATACGGCTAAAATTTCGTGGCTCGTTGGTGACCGTACTGACGAGGGTTCCACTCTAGTTATTAAGTATCTCTTGTGTGGGGCGCACGAGAGAGATGATCTGGTGGGCTCGTGATAAGGGTGTGTAAGTTCCCGCCCACCCTACGCCGGAGAAATTTGAAAATGGTGTTTTCACTCTGATA